GGTTCGCCCCGTGTCCTCCCACCAGAAGGTCGCCTTCTTCGTCCACTCCTGCCTGGACGCCGTGCGGGTCCAGGTGCGCCGAGACGGGAAGCTGGTTCTGTCCCAGAGCGTGGAGGGTGTGCGGCAGTTCCTGCTCCGGGGGCGGCCCAAGGCCAAGTACCTCCTCCGGCTGAAGGGGAGCAGGAAGGGGGCGTCGCTGCTCAAGGTCCTGGCTAGCACGCGGCCCGGCAAGCACGCCTTCCCGTCCCTCCCCGAGGACACGCGGATCAAGGCCTTCGACAGGCTGCGCACCTGCTCGTCGGCCACCGTGGCCTGGCTGGGCACCCAGGAGAGGAGCAAGTTCTGCCTCTACAAGAAGGAGGTGGGCGACCCCTACAGCGAGGACCAGAGGAAGAGAGAGCAGAACCAGTGCCTGGGGCCGGACACGAGGGCGAAGTCGGAGAAGGTGCTCTGTAAGTACTTCCACAGCCGGAACCCGCAGCGGGCGGTGACCACGGAGACCGTCCGCGGCCTCCAGCCGGGCAAGGCCTACCTGCTGGATGTGTACCTCGTGGGGCACGGGGGGCACTCCGTCAAGTACCAGAGCAAAGTCGTCAAAACCCGCAGGGTCTGCTAGTGACCTGGGTGCAGGCGAGGCACGTGGACCTGTCGCGGGGACCTGTCTCGGGGCCTCCAAGATGCGAGTGCCCGTGGCTGAGCTCAAGGGAGGGGTGTCCGCGGGCGTCCGTGGATGCTGGCGTCCCCTCGAGAGGGGAGACTGGTCCTCGCCCACCCAGGGTGCCTGGTGTGTGATGTCACAGACAGACCCCCGCAGGAGCCGCCGTCCCCGCTCTGACCACTGCATGAACTGCTTCTAAATTATTTTATTACCTGAAAGTTTAAAAGATGCCACTCATTGCACACATCTCCCCAAATGCAAACCAGTCCTCTCTATAGATGCTAGGATATATCGATATAAATTATTTTATAAAGTCTTGTCTTAAATGTCGGTGTGTCTATGATCGTAAGCTATTCAAGCCTCCTGTTGAAGCGCAGATCGGATCTACGTCCGTGATGTGGACGGCGCTCTGGTCAGTTGTACGGTAAATGCTTATCTGTCGTGTGGAATGTTCAAATGCTGTATGTCTCTCCTGTGCGGAGTTGACGCGTTGTATCCATGTACAGAACATTAAAGATATTAGAGTCTATTCTGCTCATTTTCCCATGCAGCGACCTTGGTGTGTCCGGTTAATGTCTGTCCCCCGAACTTGCGCCCTTATGCACTTTGGCACCGGGCCCGACCCTCTTTAGATAGTTGCAGACGTGGCGAGTCTCCTTGACGTCGCCATGGCATCGGAGACGGGTATCATGGTCACAGCTCGCAGTTATGAGCACCTCGTCCTGCACAACCCAGTACCTCTCTGTGTTTAAAATAAGCTCCTCCGCCCTAACTGGTTTGGCTCAGTGGATAGAGCGTCAGCCTGCAGACTCAAGGGTCCCAGGTTCCATTCTGGTCAAGGGCATGTACCTTGGTTGCAGGCACATACCCAGTAGGGAGTTTGCAGGAGGCAGCTGATCAATGTTTCTCTCTCATCGATGTTTCTAACTCTCTATCTCTCTCCCTTCCTCTCTGTAAAAAATCAATAAAATATATTTTAAAAAAATAATAATAAAAATAAAATAAGTTCCTCCTTTAGGTACAAACGTGGGGTAATTCCAGGTGTTTTCTGTGTGCGTGTAATTAGTAACGAGAGAACGCCAGAGGCGGCTGTTTCGTAACATCAACAGTCCGACACTTTTCCCTTTGATTTTTCATGAATCTTTAAAAAGTAATTTAGGTGCCAGACAACACTGAGGCCACGGGTGACGGCGTCCTTGTGTCCGAGGCCCTAGGGGGTTTCGTTCTCCGCACGTGCTGCACGTGAGGCCATGAGAACCAGGGCTCGAACGGGCCGGAACTTGCAGTCGCCTGAGTTGTGTGACTTTGGGAACACCTGTTGCTGCCCATGTGCGCAATCAGGTGGGGACGGACCGGATCAGGTGACGCCACAGGCTCCTTTCTTTCCCTCATAAGACGTTGTCCTTGGTGGAACTCTGCGATACTCAGTTACAGAGAGTTTCTGGAATTCCAGGTGGACACAGGTATAACCCTTCGTGGCTCCCTCATCCCCGACGTGCCGGCTCCACCTTCCCCAGGGGCCAGCACAGGTGCGTTCCGTGCGGGCAGATGGCTCTGGCCCAGGGGGTGTGAGCGCTGATCCTCACGACCGATGCCCTGCCCCCTTAGGAGCAAGTGTCCCTCGTCAACATGGACCATCCAACTCGTCCGTGTTGAGACCAAATCAAAATGTGTCCCGCGTGTCTGTGCAAAACAGCAGTGGCCCCTGAAATAATCCTTTATAAGGACGTGTGTGTAACCAACCTAGAAAAAAAAAATGTTGTTGGTTGAAAGTAAACCTTCAGAATTGATAACATCCCAGTGATGTTCTCTCCTGAATTAAGAGCGTGGTGCCTTGGGAAGGGGGATCCACGGTCTCTGATGACTCACAAATATGTTCTCACACAGCAAAGCGCTAAACCCACTCCGGTGAACCCGCCATAATGCAGCTTCCGAAGGTGGCGGGCTCCCCGCTCAGCCGGCCGGGAACCAGGCCAAGTCAATCTCACCGAGTTGGAGTCTCCAGCCGCTGCGATGGCGGCTGCTGCAGCCTCTGGATAAATCCGAGCATTCTTTCATGCCCCAGTGAAGTTCGCCTTTTAAAAATGTTAGGAAAGTGAGAGACACATTGTGAAACTCCTGTCACTCATAAAGAAAGAGAACCTATTAATGTTAAAGCTCCGTTACTCACTCATGTGCTGAGGTTTTGGGAGCGCGCAGGTGAACTGAGGACAAGAGAGAGGATTTTGCTCCTAATTAAGGAAAGAACTGGAAAGTAGCTACTGTGAGAACGCACCCCTGGTGTCCACGGAGCTGAGGTGTGCGTGTGGAGAACAGGGCGCAGGAGCCCCCTTGGGACGGGCGGAGCTGCGTTGAGGGGAGCGCGGTCTGAGCACGCACCCAGGTGCACCCCTTCATTTTTCAGGTGCAAAAAGAGACGACCAGAGAAATACCAACAGAGTTCTCGTAGTCGACACAGACAATGGTGGAATCGCCCAGGCTCCCAGATCCTTGCTGGAATACAAGTCAGTTCTTAGGGGGGGAAAGTCACTCGATCATTTTCCAAAAGGAAACAAACGTTTTGTCTTCTTGTTGATGTCAAAGCAACCTGTCCTTAAAGCCCATTTCAGATTTCCTGAAGGGTGTGTGCATAGCCTATAACCGATAACTGCAAACTGGTAAGAAAAAAAACAGATTGGTTTTTACTTTTTTATTACTGATTTCAGAGAGGAAGGGAGAGGGGGAGAGAGAGGGAGAGAGAGAGAGAGAGAGAGAGAGAGAGAGAGAGAGAGAGAGAGATATCATTGATAAGAGCATCACTGATTGGCTTCCTCCTGCACGCCCCCCACTGGGGATCAAGCCCACAAACCATGCATGTGCCCTGACCGGGAATCGAACCGTGACCTGGTTCAGAGGCTGGCGCTCAACCACTGAGCCAGGCGGCCGAGCTCCAATGGGTGTCTTCAGAGACAGGGTCTTCTGGTCTAGGTCTGCGTGCACACAGACTTGAGGCGATACGGTCATTAGTTGCTTAAATGACAGCCCTGTATTTTTAAAATCTAAACTATTCAGAATCAATAAAAATTGTAGCGGATGACTTCCTTGGTCAAATTGCTTTACCATCAATGTCTAGATGATTTTTTAAACATCATTAAAGGGTTCGTGCTGGGAAGGACACGGGCATCCCTTATTGCTGCTGTTCAGAACACATTTGAAAAATTACCATTTGTGGAACCCTGAGAAGCCCAATGAAGTGGCTGCAGTAAAATCATCGCTTAGATGAACTCCGGGCGTTAAAGTCAGCTTGATGGCTCTTAATAGTTTGGGAGGTTCAGACGCCGTCAATGAAAACAGAGTTTCTTTCATGCTCAGCTTGTGGGATTCAATGGGCCTGTAGCCAATCAGAATCTGTTTCAATACTAACCAGCCCCTCAGGGACCACCTCATCCACAGCCTCACTTTTTAAAAAAAGTGTGTGTTTATTGATTTTAGAGAGAAAGGAAGGGAGAGGGAGAGGGAGCTAGAAACATCGATGAGAAACATCATCTATGGACTCCCTCTTGCACGCCCCCTGCTGGGGATCAAGCCCGGCCACCTAGGCATGTGCCCTGACAGGGAATGAACTGGTCGTTGGCTGCTTGGAGCCTGGGATGACACTCAGTTCACTGAGCCACACCGCCAGGCACGACCTTGGAGAACAAGATCCCGTGGCATTTCCACAGCCACTCCCCCCCGCCACCCTTGACATGGTGGGATGCCGAGAAAGCTGGCTGGGACCTGGCTGTGGGGTGTCTCGGGACGAGGGCTTGAGGGAGGGGGCGCTGGTGGGCTCAGCTGTCCTGCGTGTGCTTGTCCGCGGGACCATGGGCTCTGCACACTCACACTGTGTTCTCCCCAGAGCCCCGGCCAGAAAAGCAAACTGGTTCATCAGGGCCTTTGCTGTTATTCTGAAGGTGGAAAGTGGGGGAGGGGAGCAGAGAGGAGATGAGAAGAGTGTAGTCCTACCTCATTTCTTTCTCAAAGGGGCCTGTGAGGTCGAACGTAGCTCAACTGTATAAGGTTGGGGATTCTGTCCTACACCCAACCTTCCCCTGGGAAACTGGACCTTAATCGCCACCTGCTAACTGCCCGTTGGGTGGCTCTGGTGGTTGGAGCAGCGTCCCCTACGCCTGAGAGATTTTGGGTTCGGTCCCGGGTCAGTCTGGGCACGTAGGGGAGGCAGCCATCAATGCCTCTCTCTCCCTTCCTCTCCCTCTAAAATAAATAAGCATGTCCCGGGTGAGGAGTTTTAAGAAACGAGTAATTAACATTGTCTCCCACTGATAGACGTTCTCGTTTCCTGGGAACAGTGGGCCGTGTATGGGGGTAAGATTTCCTTCATTTCTGTTTGTTTACTCTCCTCCTTCTCAGTTTTGGGGAAGAAACTTCTTCATCAACGTTCAGAGAGGAAGTTAATTAGAATGGCTTTTCATACCCACCCCCAGACCTCCTTCAAAGATGTTTTTAAATATCCCAAGTGTAAAAGAAACAGAAGGCCTGCAGAGATCAACAGTGGGCTCCCACACTGAAGCGTCCGGGCGCAGGCACGTCGCAGGAGGCACGGGCATCGGTCGGCACTAATGAGGACCGGGTGGCCTCGGCCGTCCCCCGGGGAGAGAGGGAGGAACTAGGAGCAGAGGGGGTGTTGGGTCCTCGTAAAGACCGGTTAAAAACAGGAATAAGAGTAAACGTTCTCATTGTCCCATCATGCCCCTGGGAGCACTTCGGAGAGCTGAGGAGGTCTTGAATGGAGAGTTAGGAGTGTAGAGTCCAGAGGCTCTGACCAGGGGCACGTTGAGCCTCCGTGGACACGGAGGGGCCCCAGGCCTGCAGACTGCAGAGCAAGAGTCTGAGTGGACTCAGCTGTAAAACAGAAACAGAGCAGGCGGGTCTTGCTATGGCTGATGAGATCCAGTCAGAACCGCCTACAAAAACAACCATCTTACGACGAAGAGGTGGGATGAATGTGTTGCTTCGAGTCCAGAATTATTGTCAGAAACTGGTGAATTTTAAGCAGTGATTTAAAAATATCTGCCATCTCTCCCTTGTTGGTAAACAACCTGCCAAGATGAATATCCAAATAAACAAATATCCCGTTCTTGTCCATAGTCAGTTCTTCGCGTAGTCCAGTGATTCCCAAAGTGGGAGCTACCGCCCCCCGGTGGGCACTGCAGCGATCCAGGGGGGCGGTGATGGCCACAGGTGCATTTGGGGGCGATGAGTAACTGCTATGAAAATTTAAAAAAAATTAATTTCCAGGGGCTGAGTAATATTTTTTCTGGAAAGGGGGCGGTAGGCCAAATAAGTTTGGGAACCACTGGTGTAGTCCTTCCAACGTATATAAATAGGGAGGCCCAGGGCAATATACATAAGATATATGTACTTGACCAGACCCCAAAATGTCCATATTCAGCTATAACTCGGACAGGGTTTTGCTTCTGAGAGAAATTGTTTGTAATCAACAGAACCAAGTATATTAATGCACAGCGTGTGTGTGGGAGGCGGAGGGCGGGAGGTAGGCCTGTTCA